AAAGAGGTTCCCAAGCACAGGTTTTTGCATATTGCTTTTAGCTAGTAATTCTCTGGTGCTAAAAGTGAGACTTTTCTCCATGTTCCCACCGCCATCTCTTGTGCACAGCTCGCATTCGTTGCTTCTCCCCCATCCACCCTGTAGTCAGAAGAAAGGAAAAGTACTCACCATCTGCTTATGGCTCGGGAAGAAAGTTTGCTCCACGAGGGGGAACTTCTCAGGACCCAACGAGTTGAAGATTTTAATGAGCTGAGAGAACTTGAGGGGGGGAGGGGAGTGGAACAAAAAACAGACACAGTGGATGTCAGTGACTTATTGTGTAGCAGGTAAGTGTTTGCAAAATGTTCTGATACCGATGAAGGAGGTGAGAGAAACATGTTACTATGCCGTTCCCACCTTGCTTTCTTAACCCTTGAGAGCAGCAAAATATGAAGTTGCTGTATTTACCCAGGGCCAAGCCAGGCTGTGTACACAAACCTTGGACTAAGAGAGCAGAGAAGGGTTTCAAGAGCCAGAAAGGGATCAGTTTGGGTTTAGTTACAGATCTACTATGAACAAGCTTTGCTTGCCAAATGTAGTTGGGGAGAGAGTAGGAGGGGCTCTTCCTGGTAGAGGAAAGGGCTCAGAGGAGTGACCAGGCAGCAAATCAGTGCCACCACTCCTGAGCAGAGACAAAATAAATCAAAGATCTCCCTTGGATCTCTGTCCCACACCCAGGTCAAAGCAAGGCACATTTACCCGTTGTGCTGAAGGGAAGGAGAATTGCTAATGGGACAGAGATGACTGGAGGAATTGCCCGTGCTAGCTGGTTTGAGTGTTAGACCAAGGAAGCATAAGCCCGCCAGCAATCATAACTGACACTTCTTACGAACCAAGGGTCTCCCAACAGGCCCCCATGCATGGCAGGAGAAAGGGGAGATCATGTGCTACCCCTGCCCCATCTACCAGTGAGGTCTGAGGGCATCACTAGTCTGTGAGGATGGTCTGTACAGAAAGCAGTATGTAACATCAAGGAGGGAAGCAACAGTGCTGGTGTTTGACGTGCAAGGGCGAACATTTGCCGTCATCCCAGCCTGTCAGCATTAACTTCACTATTGTTACCACCATCATCACTATTATAAAGTTTGTCATGCAGGGTTGTGCCCAGCCAGACACAAAGCTCCCTATGGTAGGAGAGAGTTTTGATTTCTGTTCCAACCCCTGCTCCGCTTCAGCCATCTGTGAAGCGAGCAGGCTATTCTGTACATTGTCTGCAGCCTCCCTATTCAATCTATCATTGATCAACTGGAAAAAAAAACAAACCTAAATCTATAAGAGAGAAACTTAATAACCATGACAGAAAACATTGCTGAAGCACGGTTGGTATACAGAAGAGAATAAGACGTGATTTATATCTACCAGAAACATTTTGGATCTCAGGAATAACTTAGATTCTTTATAATCAATCACCTCTCTAGCCAGTCTGCTTTCTCTCTGAAGAGTGACAGCCCCGTTACCATGGACAATGCTGAACTGGCAGTGCTGTTGGTGAAGCGGTTAGACTGACAGCCTTGCAGAAGGGAGAGTAAAGCCGAATAAGGTAGCTTGATTATTTTCATGGACATTAAGAGAATAAAATTATTGGGCATTGCTCCACAGATAGACTCATAGAATGGTTTGGGTTGGAAGGGACCTTAAAGGTCATCTAGTTCCAATCCCCCTGCCATGGACAGGGACACCTTCCACTAGATCAGATTGCTCAAAGCCTCATCCAACCTGGCCTTGAACTCTTCCAGGGATGGGGCATCCGCAACTTCTCTGGGCAACCTGTTCCAGTGCCTCACTACCCTCATAATTCCCCATTGATGTCCTATTTGCAAAGTAATTTAGAAACTGAATCTAGTTTCCAAGACACCTGGAATTTGGTCAAATCAAGTTAAATTAATAATGGTCTCCAGTCTGGCCCATATCCTTCAAGTTACCTATCAAAGCTAGAGATGCATTCGTCTTGAAGGAGATCTTTGTGTCACCTGTGTGACACACAGGGAGGTAACACACAGGTTACAGGAAGGAGACAGACATCTAGGGAACAAGGGAAGGGAAAGAAAGCCCTCTTTCTTCCCAATAGCATCAGCTGCCTAATCTTACATGTTCTGAGCTCTTCTGAGCAACAGCTGAAGCCAGTAAATGTCCCAAATAGCAACCCCAAGGTTACATTGCGTATAAAGAGAGCACTACTGAGAATGTTTTCTGCTGAGTAGCTACGTTAGGGCTCCTGTCCTGGTTTCTGGGCTAGTCTAAGCAAAAGTATTTCTGTATAAGAAGATGAAATTTCACTTGGTGGTGAAGAAATACCCCTTTAGGAGTTAAAGGGTGTTATGAATGTAAAAAAAAAACCACAGCCAGCGTGTAAAAAATAATTAGACTGCAAGGTGTGTGCCAGTCCCGGGCCACATGCTGAAGGGGCAGCTGCCAGCAGACTTGCAGACAAATGCAAAGAATGCTTTTGCTAATCTTGTAGGTCAAAATGTGGCATTTACACAAATCCAGAAAACATCAAGAGGCGGCACTACCACCACCACTTCCTCACAGGCATCAGCAGATAAGAGAAAAACTCCCTGTGTAGAATAATTATCATTGGCAAGGAGGGTATTGATGTTGGGGATGGAGGACAGCTTGCTTCTCATAACTACTTGCACTAGCCCTGCACATCCTAGAGAAGAAAAATAAAGCCCTGTTTTGACTAGCAAAGTGAGCAAACAGGACTTAAAAGTTAAACAGAATGAGACAGAGACAGGGAGAGGAGGAAAAACACCCTGGCTGAGAGCAGCACATGCCCCTCGCTGCGCGTGCATGCAGCCCTGGCCAAACAGGGATGCCATGAGGTTGAGGCGACACACATTTATCCCAGGAAAACAGCTCAAACAAAACAACTGGAACAACTGTGCAGCTGACAGACAGCGTCCTGACTTGTTCCTTGGGCTTCCTTTTGAAGCTCACAGCTCTTGGCTGTTGCTGAAATAACAAAGCGTTTCAGATGGACAGATGAGAGATGCAGGCATCTTGGAGCCTCCTTGGCAGACCAAGCCTGAAAAAAGGTCTGACTTTGGTATTGACCCTTATGGGACAATTCTCTCCTTTTTTTCCTTCTTTTTGGCAATTGTTAGGGACAGGATATTGGCAAAGAGACACCCATGTTACATGGTGCAGTAGCCTCTTAGATATCTGATAGCCGAGCTCAAGTACCACCTTCTAGCACATTTCAGATGGGTAGGAGTGTTGCTGCAGCAGCTCAGGTAGGTGTAACTGCCCCTTCCACATTTTGGTCTCAGTTCTTACTTTCTGTGGTTCCACTGGTTCTAGTGAGATTGCACCCAGACCACAAAGCAAGACACGGGGCAAGGCAACGTGGCACAGTCTGGATTTTAAGTGCGAAGCCTTGCCTGGCTGGTTGGGCACCAGAGTTACTTGCAGGGAGTCTTTACAGAGAAATAGAAAGATCCATTCAGAGGATCTCAAGGCCTTTTGCATGTTTTTAAAGTGCCTAGGTCATCAGGAAGCCTGTATCCCTTGACAGTCAATAACAGTTTGGCTGGGAGTCTCTTGCATTCTGTAGGTGACTATCTTCAAGACTTTGTATTTCCTGAAGTCTTACAGATGCAAAAGTTGCCTTTCGATTACGGACGTTACTGCATCTGACATGAGCACTACTCTGAGTATTGTTCCCACTGAATTTTGTATGGTAACTTTTAGAACACAAAAATTACTGTTAATGGTTGAAGCATTGTGTTTAGGGTGCTTGTAGCATTATTTCTCAATAATTCTGGGATCATCTTAACACTTAGGATCCTTAGCTGTTTCTCTGTGTGTGAGATCCCCTGAATACGTCTGTTTCTCTTTCAGAAACGCCTAATTCGAACTGTGCCTGTCTTTAATGCTAATTTTAACCTTCGAAGAAATTTGCGTGTTGCAGACTGGAAATCTGGCAAATGTCATTAAAACATGGGGCTACATGTTTCAGTAAACTCAAGCCCAAACTCAGCTGATTGTAATTAGAGTTGCTGAGAAAAAACACTGTTACAAATTGCCAAGGAAAAACAGTCTCGCTTCCATCCCCCTCCACAAAATCATAAACATTTCTATGAAATGGAACCATTTTTGGAAAAAAATAAAAAGGGAGAGTGAAAAGCATATTTCCCAGGGGTATTTAATTTCATTTCTCCATCTATCTATCTCAACTGTTTTCTAGGTCCAAAATGTTTCCAGTAATCTTTGTGAAGCAGAGCCCTTATTTCAAGATGCCTGTTTTGCAATCAGAGTGCAACGTGCACTGAAGTGGTCTGTCCCTATCTCTCATTTCCCAGCTATCACAAAATCAAAATTTTCTGATTCTGCTGCTACGGAAGCTTTCTGCCCTCAAATGCCCCAGTGCAATCTCTACCTGAGCTTCAACCTGATAAAATTTCAGTGGTGCCAAATACCAGGTTGGACCCCATCTGAGCTCTTAGATTACTTAGAATCATAGAATCATAGAATGGTTTGGGTTGGAAGGGACCTTAAAGATCATCTAGTTCCAACCCCTCTGCCATGGACAGGGAAACCCTCCACTACACCAGGTTGCCCAAAGCCTCATCCAACCTGGCCTTGAACACTTCCAGGGATGGGACATCCACAACTTCTCTGGGCAACCTGTTCCACTGCCTCACCACCCTCAATGAAAAAAATTTCTTCCTTAGATCTAATCTAAATCTGCCCTCTTTCAGTTTAAATCCATTGCCCCTTGTCCTATCACTACATGCCCTTGTAAAAAGTCCCTCTCCAGCTTTCCTGTAGGCCCCCTTTAAGCACTGGAAAGCTGCAATAAGATCACCCGGGAGCCTTCTCTTCTCCAGGCTGAACAGCCCCAACTCTCTCAGCCTGTCTTCATAGCAGAGGTGCTCCAGCCCTCGAATCATCTTTGTGGCCCTCCTCTGGACTCGTTCCAGTAGCTCTATGTCCTTCTTAAAGCACTTATGTAACTTAGTGTGTTACAGTCATTGGTTTGGGAGTTGATTTGGGGGTTGAGGTGGGGGGGGGTAGTAGGAAAGGAGGCATTCTGCAAATCTGTATTGGGTGTTTACAAGTGGTTTCCTTGACTCCTCTGGGAAGGTTGTCTGACCCAGTTGTATCCCCAGTGAGGAAAGCATGGCACAACCGAACCCAGAATAGCTAGAGCCAAGTTACTGGCAGAGCCAATTTCTCCCACACTGTCCTGCCAGCCTTGCTTTTTCCTTTTTTTTTCCCTTTTTTTTTTCCTCCCAATGTGCTGAGTTTGTTTGTTTTCTTTTATTTCAGATTCCTAAAAATAGGCCTGTCACATCTTGAGGCCCTTGCGCACCATCAGAAACGTAATTACAAGGCATGAGTTGAAAAACGTTATCTAAACCTTGACCGACTCAACCCCCAAATCAGACGGAATAGACCACATGACTGTCTTCTCAGAAAACCCAGTGTAAATGCAGAGGCTTTTTGTCTGGTCACCAGGGTCAACATGTTTATGTGTGTAGGACCATCTGTAGGAAACAATGCAGAGGTGTTGTACTGAGCCTGGTACTTGATCCCTGTCTTCCTCCCTTTTCCGATCCCAGCAACCCTCATCATTCAAATGGGGACTGAGACCAAGTGTGCATCATCCACCTATACAGTGATGGAAAAGTGAGATTTTTTCTCACTACTCTTATTACTGCTCTGCAACACTTTTGGAAAAAATCAGGACCCTGCTTTTGGTCTCAAAAAAACCCCCAAACATCATAAAAGAGGTGAAAACTGAGAAGATCATGTCTATTACACTGGTACATTTTTGGTAAGAAATTAGTTAAATCCAACACTGCATAGTCATGGAGATAAAAGTCTGGGTCATTACAGACCTCAGCTGGATTTGAACTACTAGTCAACATGCTGAAGACTAATAGGATATTTATTCCAAGGAAAAAACAACAACAAAAAAGACTTAATTAGGCAATGAGGAAGATAGTTACGCTTGCTATAGACATTCTGTCTCACTCCAAGCTATATTTATGCAACGAGCAAGGGGAATTTCTAAAAACATATCTAAAAGTTTTCTGTGGGGACCATATTGGGAAGTCCCATCTCCTTGTCACATCCACATAGCTTGTAGTTCCCTGCTTCGGACCTAGAACAATGGAGGGTAATTTCACTCTGGGAGCATCAGTGATCAGAGAGGGCACTTTGGGATGAAACTGCTTGGAAGACCCAGATGTGGAGTCCAAAATGGTATCAGCATCTGACTTCTTCCTGCAGGTGCTATGATGGTCAGCCTTGCTCCTGTAGCTCATGATGGCCAGCCTTACTCCTCTGGCTCGCCTGATTCTGCAGTTTCTGCTGACTTATAGCTGGTCATAAAACCAGTCTGGATACTTATTACAAACTTTGATTTGGGGCTGAGACAAGCCAATGATAAAATTTTTTAAGATTTTTCTGAGATTTCCAGGTGAACTTGGCAAAATATAAAGAACTGGTGAAGGGGGGTCCCAGTGGAAAACATCAAACCACTGACCTGTTCTCCCCAGAAGCTGACTCAGCCCATGGTGTTTCCAAGGTGCAGTCTTTCGGGCTCAATGAACCAACACTTTATGGTAACCTTGTGTTTCCTTCTGAAAGTACTGAAAAACTCTACATACTTTCTTCTTTCCTTCTGCCTCTTTCCAAGGTCTTTGTCACTCTATGTTCCTTTTTTTTCTAGACTTAGTTGTTGAATAAGTAATGTCTTTGCCTTTCTCCCCTTTCTTTTCAGCTAATTTCCTCACAACAAAGCACCGCTGCCCGGAAAAAGCAGGAAGAAAAGACAAGTGCAGGTTGCTCTTCTGCAACCTCAGTCTTAGCCTGGGGCACCTGGCTACCACAAGTGTACATTTCATAAGAGGTGCTAGAAATAGCGTAGTTCAGATACCCTCTAAAACAGTGAATGCTAATTTTTCTTTTAAGGTCGCTCTACTGTGTTTTGGTCAGGACGGAGATGTGCTACTACCGATCCGCTGTTATTACTCTATTGCTATTCATCTGCTCTGCCTTACAAGAAATCTAGGTGTTACTGTATTGTTGGCTGTTTGTGACACATTAGAATCTGGGACAGGTGAAACGTTCTACTCAGGGTGAGGAAATAACACCTTGATATTACTAGAAGTTGATAAAGAAGCACTACTGACTGGTGTTTTTTCCCCCCAAGAATTCCTAGCTGGATTCCTAAGGTTATTTAGATGGTGGGTTTAACCTAAAAAGATGAATTCCTATGAAACAGACTGGAAGCTGAGCTTGGTGCTTTATTGGAATCACATATCTACTTTGCAGTGTTGTCATGCAGTAGAGCTGGATCGTCACTTACCACCCAGGGCTTGCTGCAGAAGTTGTAGATGGAGTAGAGGGAGTTGACCGTGTGGATGCCACCGTACTGGAGACCGATAATGAGGCTGCGGAAGTCCTCTCCCAGCGCCATACTGTAGGCATGCTGCCGGATCAGGACAAAGTCGGGCTTGAAGGACCTGGAAGAGACGAGGGGAGTGACGTTTTATTTTCAAACACTCGGCAAAACTCCTAGCCTCCCCCTGTTTCTTTTCCATCCTTCCTCTTTTCAGTAACGCACATTGCTCTTCTTTGTGCCTCTCGTCATGGGTTGCTTGCATTAGAAGGTAACAAACCAAACAAAAAACTCTAGTCATTAAAAAAAGGAAAAATCCAACATAGCTGTGAGTGTGAGAGTGCAGAAACAGGCCAAAGAGATTTGCTGCAGTTTCCATGTCACTCAGGCATGCACAGGAACAAGCCACAGGCGGAGCCAAGGGTCATAAATTCACTGGTGGGGGGATTCTCTTTTCTTTCTAAAAGCTTGGCCATATTTGGCAAGCTCGTTGCAATGTGCGACGCAGATGAGGGAGCAAGTTTGTTTCCTGACGATTGAACTCGATATTGAAGCGATGCCCAGTGGGTGGGAAGATCATGAGGGATTTCAAAAAGCTATCATACGCATCCATACATTGACACACATTCCCCCCTTTAATCAGGTTCCTACTCACGCAGCATATCCCAGGCTCTTATGGCTATGAGTCAACAAGTAAAGGGCAGGCATGGTAATGCAATTAATCAAATGAGCAGAGCCCCTCATCCAGTGCTGTGACTCATGGCGTGGACTTCCAGAATATTATTTAGCAAGACTGGAGCCGGGACTCCTATGGTTCGGCAGCAGCAGCTCTCAGCAAACGCACAGAAACGTGAGGCCCTTTCTAGGTAAGCCAACAGGCGACGGATTATCTTTCAAACAGCCAGATCTCATTCCTTGCTGATGCTGTGTCTTCGGAGCCATTCAGAAATCTCCGGAAACAGCAGCTGGAAAGAAACTGTTCCCAAAATGGAGCTCAGCAGTTCATTGTCAAAGGCATGGAAGGGGCTTTTCCACTGAAACAGGAGATTATTTTATACTTTAACAGAGGTTGCATCAAGGACATTGGAGAAATTTCCATGCCGTATTGAAGTTCTTCAGAGAAATGAGCTCTGTAACCAGGTCCCATTACCTCACTACCCTAGAACATTTTCCTTGCTGAGAGACTATAATTTCTATCCATTGGATGTATGAGCTGGAAATACTTTGGGTTTATAGCCCCTATTTATATTTCCACCATTCTGGCAGGGAAATCCGAGATGGTGACTCTGGGCCAGACTGTGGCAGCAAACACTGTATACAAAACCCAGCACAGCTTTGTTGTTTTAAAGCTGTTCATTTTGTTTGTTGGCCTTGGGCTTTTGTTATCGCCTGAGACATGGTGAGGAGCACGCTCTGCTTTTGTGATGCAAGAGGCCAAGCTTTGGAAATGTTGTGATTCCCTCCCACGGAGCATTTTTAAACCCAGGCATGTTCCCTAATGTACTTGGCACCAAAGGTGGTGCTTTCCTCCAGCAGCGAGATGCATAATGAGCACCAGGAGGGCTGCACTATCACTGTGCAGCTGATTTATGGACCTCCCTGGTGTCAATGGGGGTGAGGCAAGTGGTGACCCCCTGCTGAGAAACAGCAAGTGAATACAAATCTTGGAAAGCTTAAGCTGCTCCATTCTGATGGACTTGCTGTGTAGAAAGTACCCCAGAGGCAGGCACAGGTCCTCAGGAAGGATCAATCAGCTTCCTAGGACCAGGACTTGATGTCTGCGCTGAGTTATTGAACAGTTGTGGTGCTTGGAGGGGCAGGAATTCCTAGCATGTTCCTCCTTCATTCAACTTTCTGAGCATATGAAGAAAGAAATGGTCCCTGTTACAGCTCGAGTCTTTCCCCATACTTGGTTTAGGGAGCAGCACTTACTGGAGCTGCACGGTAATGGTTCAGAAATTACTCCCATCTCCAAGAGGAAGGAGCAGTGTTTGCCCTTGGACATCTCCCCCAACACCCCAGGGTGGAGACGTGGTGCTGTGGTGGGGAGGAAGCATACAAAGGAGTGTGGCCAGCCGGGGTGGGAGGACACACAGCAGCTGGGAAACTGCCTTCAGGGGCTTTACTTCTGCCAGCAAAATGTTTAGGAAAAAAGCTCTTGTCTTTTCAGATCCTGGGAAAGGAAGAGTTTTTCAACTTAGAAGATGGACACAAGAATACAGAATTAGCGTAGAAAAGCCTATTCTCAAACTCTGCATCGTGCAGGGTGCTCTCTCATGCAGCAGATGAGGAGTGAATCTCTAAAGCGAAGGTGGACACTGAATCCCTGTTTTGAGCTGTGGGACAATGAGGATGTTCCCATGGATACTGAGAACAAGGCAGAGGAGTACAGGGTCTGGGACTAGCTGCGAATAAACATCAGCTGGAGAACCCCGGAGCCCACGAGACGTCTGTAACGGAGAAACAGAGACCAGTGGCAAAATGTGAGGCGAGGGGCTAGGAAGGATAGCAGGCAGTAACAGGAAAATGAATAGCCAGGGTAGGGGTGGCTACACGAAAACTGGGTAACTGGGGGAACCAGTGATCTGGGGAGAAAGGAGCTTAATTGCTTCACACAAGAATTACTTTTTTGGTAGAAGACTACTTCTGCAAGCTACCACTCCTTGTCAGAGTGTAACTCTTACTCTAACATATCAAGTCTTGGATTTGGAATAGCTAGCCGTGTAACTGTTTTCCTTGCTAGTTCAACTCAACCCAATAACATCTCTCATGACAGAAAATTGAAATCCTTGGCAGACAGACAGGTTAGGCAGAAGTCCCACATGTGAAACACCACTGCCAAAACCTTTGGGTGAGCCAAGCTCCGTAGCACCTGCTGTACTGATGTTTTAAGCATCTGAGACTGGCAGGACTAGGAGAGCAATGGCAGGAGCACGTACCTTTCCTCCCCACTCGATCTGTCCAGCCAGTGCTTAGATGACCACAAACTGTCTTGAATAAAACTGCACCTAGACCTCTGCTGGGGACAGGTCACGGGAATGGGTTTGGTCAGAGAAAGAATACAGGAGAGCCTACTCAAACATCTCATAGACAGGGAGATGGGATAGGTAAATGGAACTAAAAGTAAACCACAGATTTAAAACATGTCGCCAATAAGCTGTGCTCTGCGTGTTGGTGCGGAGCCCTTCCTGGGCTGCGTGGCAGACACCTACCTGAAGTCTTGAATCTTACCTAGCTTGATAGCCAGATGAATAAAGCTTCTATGAGAAAGCTGTAGCCCATCTTTGGCCACAATCCTTTTATAGAAGCCGTTTCTCAGACCCCAAGAGCTCAGTTCTCATTTAGAGTTTGGCTCCCAGCACTGCCTGGCGAAATAAAGGCCACTGAAATGTATGTAACACATTCCCAGAGTGATGTAGAGATAAAAGAATCATTTGGGGTTTTCTAAAAAAAAATCCAGGAGACTGAAAAAAAAATATTTTCAGATTGAAATAGCTGGTGAGATTTCATTTTCCTCTGGAATGGCTGTCCTTTCAACTCGTGTCACCACAAGGGATGGCCTCTGCCACACATGTCACGAGTCTTTCAGTGCTCTGAGTGGTGCATGACCAAATTGGCTACCCCAAGAGTGAAGCAGCCCCCTCATGGGTCCCTGTGGCTTTTCTCACTTTGTAGTTGTTGCCTCCTTGTCCCAGATGCTAGCCAAGGCACATGGCAGCTGCTCAGCCTACCTCTCCTCCTGGCAACTGAGATCAGCCAGTAATTAGCAGAGTCAATCAGCCCTGGGTGATGATGAGTATTTGGCTAAGAAGATGCTAGTGCAGCCAGTCCTGAGCCTGGACTCTGATACTGCAGTATAGGATGCTTATTTGCATTTAACTAACTCTTTTTCAACTTGTTCCAATGCACTTTAGCAGTCTCTTTCTTTCTTAGTGGTAAAAATATACTTCAGAGAGAAACCTGGATCCAAAATACCTAATAGGAAGAGATCTGACTGCAGAATATAATTTCTTAGGTTGGATCCATCTACCCTTAAATCTGTGACAGCATTAGCTGTCCTGAAACTGTTTTGTCAGAAAGGATGGAATATAAAACAATTTAAGAGATTCTTGATGTTAAATATGGAAGTTAAACGTCTCAGGAGCAGCAGTAGCTATTCTGGTGATCATGTGTCTAATGTCTCTAATTATGAGAAGAGAATCAGCTCTGAAAAGCTCATCGATAACATTTCTCTGCAGAAAGCAGGTCCTCAGCCTGTTTTGGGGTAGAGAAGATGATAACAGCAAATCCTGCTGGGAGGTTTTATGCCTTAAGAAGATTTCATATTTCTTATTTCTGCATACAGCCATAACTCTGGCTTCCTTCCTGGTCCTTCAGCATTTCTCACTGAAGCACAAAGAGCTTCATGGGCATGAAGAAAGAACATACAAGAATAGGTTATGTTGTCAAAATACCTTTTAATGGTCCCTTCTGCTGTGAATAATCACCTGCAGTCAGAGGGTAGACCTGCTTTATACTTTAGCACCGTGCTGGATTTAGAGAGCTTTTTGCCTGTGCTGTGGGAAAAGGATGGGTTCTCCTGCTCTCCTTCTCAAAGAGTACCAGTCTTACAAGGCACTTTGGCCTTCATGTCAACAGGAAAATACCTTCCCTGAAAACCAGGGAAGCACATCCTCACTTCAGGTTCTGTCTACCCTTCATTATTCAAGGAGGCTTTATTCAGTTTTCTGACACTTCCCAGTGATCAACACATTTTGAATAAGTTCTCTTCCAAAGCCTTTTGTATCTGCTTGGCATGACACGGAGAGGAAGAAAAGTGCATAATTAAGCAATATGATACAACAAGCTTTCCATTACTGGCAATTAATGGAGCCTTCAAGCAAGCTTCTGAGGCACAAGTCCAAGCCATAAGTGGCTGCAACTACCTGAGAAGTGCAATAATCCCTCCAACTATGCAGCACCTCAGGTGTCTGAGAGCTGATAGAAAATGGCATTTATAAATAGGAACAAGTTCTTTTTGTGATTTACTTGGGCGTTAGTAGTATTGTTATTACATTACTGAAAAGTGATAAGAAATCCATGACATTTTCACCTCTCACGATGTTAGATTAATGTTATATTAGA